TTAACTCTAAAACATGTGATGATCAATCTACCACATCTTATCCTTTATCATATTTCAATTATCATGCTTTTTCTCCTTCACATAGACATTATACTTCAACTATGTACACCTTGGACAAACCTAAAACCTACAAACAAGCCATAAAATTTGCAACTTGGATTAAGGCAATGCAAATTGAAATTAATACTCTTAACCAAAATAATACTTAGGATCTCATTCCTTTACCTGAAGGTAAGAAATAAATTGGATGTAAATGGGTCTATAAGGTGAAACTAAAAATTGGTTGTTCCCTTGAATGACACAAAGCTATACTTGTAACATGTGGGTTCACTCAAATAAAAGGCATCAACTACTTTGACACTTTTCACTTGTTGCAAAGGTCACCGTCATTTGACTAATTTTGGCTATTGTTGCAGTAAATTAATGGATCTTACACCAACTTGATGTCCATAATGCTTTTATTCATGGACATCTTGATGAAGAAGTTTACATGGAGCTCCCCTCAAGTATCACTCATACTCAACCAAATCAAGTTTATAAGAAATCACTTTATGGTTTAAAATAATCAAGTAGACAATGGTTTGCTAGACTTTCTTCCTCTTTATTTACATACAGATTTATTCAATCTTCCTCTAACCATTCCTTATTTTTTAAATATCATAAACCACTCCTTTACTGCAATATGTTAAGTATGTGGAGTTTGAAGGATTTATTGGGCTTGGCCCATTTGCTTTATTTATTATTTTTTTTTATAAATAATCATGTAATTGTAAACCTAATTATGAAATAGAAAATACCATCTAGTGCAGCCGTGGACGTAGGTTATTTTGATTGAACCACGTAAATCTTTGTGTCTTGTTAATTTACTTTCTCTCTTGAAATTGTGCGTGTGAGTGCGTTTGCGATTCCCAACACAATATTGGTTTATGTGGATGATTTGATTCATGCAAGAAACAACCTACAAGAAATCAATGATACCAAGAACTTTCTTAACCAACAATTCATAATTCATGACCTTGATAATCTAAAATATTTTATCGGGTTTGAGATTGCTTGTTCTCATAAGGAATACATGTTTTTCAAAAAAAAATATGCACTGGAAATAGTTTCTAACATGGTTTTTTTTATGCTAAAATTTTCAGCACTCGTAAGACTAAAGATACCAAGCTTCACAAGAATGAGGGCCAACCATTAGATGATCCAGCTGCTTACAAACGTCTCATAAGCAAACTTTCATATCTTACCAATACAAGACTAGATCTTAGTTATTCAGTTCAACAATTAAGCCAATATATAAGTTGTTCAACTACTTCTCACCATCAAGTTGCCATCCAAACTACCCCCTGCTCACGGTCTTTTCTACTCCACGCATTCTAAACTTCAACCAAAAGCCTTCTCGGATTCTGATTGGGCAGGTTGTGTGGATACTAGAAGATCCACTATTGGATATTGTATTTTTCTTTATGAATCTCTAATATCCTAGTGTTCAAAGAAGCAAACCATTGTCTCAAGATCCTCTTCCAAAGCTTAGTATCATGTCCTAGCTTCTACCCCCTATGAAATTCAGTGGCTTACCTACATCCTAAAAGAACTTCAACTCATTTTTATTTCACCGACCCTTTTTTATTGTGACAATTAGTCACATCAATACATTGCCACTAATCCTACTTTCCATGAGCGAACTAAACATATTGAGATTGATTGCTACATTGTATGTGAGAAACTTTAATCTAAACTACTTGTAGATATTTTAACCAAGCCCCTTGACTTTGGTTCCTTTCATAATCTATTATCCAAGTTAAAAGTGTCAAGTATCAACTCTTCAGCTTCTGGGGGGAGGGGTATTGGAGAAAGAAGTCATAACAACAACTTATTAGAGCATAAGAAAAGATTCGATTTTGCTATTTTTCATTTTCTATTTAGCTTGTTAGTTTGTTTTCTACATGTTTTCTATTATAACCTTTCTTTTTGGACTCTATACATGCATACATACATACATACATACATACATACATACATACATACATACATACATATATATATATATATATGCTCAATAACTTTATATTAAATGTGAATTTTGTAAATCCAACCGTTAGATTGAAAGTTCTTTACTTTTAGATCATATATACAAAATTTTATATTAATCTAAGATGATTTGATACTTCATTCTTATAAAACAAAATTGACGTAATATATTTATTTCAAAATATACTAAAATATACTAAAATATGAACACTTTGATTACCTTCAAGTTGTTGTTCAATTTTACAAAATTTGATATACACATATAAAGTGATATAAATTTTCAATCTAACGGTTGAATTTACAAAATTCACATTTAATATAAAGTTAATGAGCAGTGTAACACTTACTAAAAGTTACACCGGTGTCGTTTAAACCTTTCTATATATATATATATATATATATCTTAGAAGAATATTCTCTCTTTTCAATGAAGTTATGTTTTTCTTGGATTCTGATTATACCTTTCTTTATATGCTTAAAGTGAACCCATCAATTGGTCCACAATCATTGTTTGTAAATCCTTTGACTCATCAATTGCACAATCCAGAAAATCAAATTTATCAAATTTTGTTGTTAGAAAACAAAGAATTTTCTCAACCACACAAACATCTTCCATTTTTTTATCCATAATGCTTTGGATTTACAACCATCATCGTCGTACTACAAAAATCCAAAATTGATGGACTCCTTCCTACACACAATCGAAACTCTCCACGTAATTTCCTTAGTTTTCTTAGTCTTAGTTTTGAATTATTTTCTAACATGATGTACTCTAGTAAGAGATAAAAAAAGGAGAGAAAAGTGATAGATTAATAGGTATATGAAATACCAATATTGATTGATATAAATGATAGCAATTGTGTCTTTAACCAAGTTATTTAAAATTTGAATCCTAGTTTTGATATGAAATTAAATGAGTTGGGAGAGAAATATTTAATTTGTATATGCTAACAATTCTTAACAAAAATTAATTACCGTTATCAATAATTGATATTTTATATCAATAATATAGTTATAAAAATAATATATAATATAATAAAAAAAAAGATAAAAAATAAATATGAAGATGCCAATGAAATATTTAAAATATTTAAATTTTTAAATACCATTACTCAAAATAAAAACTTAACAAAGTGATGTGTATAGTCAACTCAACTGTTAGCCATAGTTACAAAACAATAGAAATTAATGAAAAAAAATATACTCTATTTTACGAAGTAATTTAAAAAGATCTGAAAACATCATAATAATAATAATAAATAAATAAATAAATAAATAAATAAATATAAATAAACAAACTTTCCTACCTCCTTTTTATTTATTTATTTATTTTCTCTCTCATCATTTTATGCATCATTTTGTCTTGTAATGAACAAGTCCTGCAAAAGCTCTGACACCAAATGAGTGCATTCAGAGAAATATGCTTAGGTTAGAACTTATTAAGATCCCAAATTAGCAATTGACACATATATGTATATATTATATTATTAAGTGTTGATTTGCGTGTGTAAAGAGTCCTACGAATTTATCATGCATCCACCTAGTCTACCTAGCAAACAAAATTGCCGGAGGCACCATTTTCCTCTCTATGAATTTCCAAGTACAACAAGAAGCTTAGATAAAGTTGCCACTTATGAGAAGAGATATGGTTAACTACTTCATTCCCTAATATCCACGCCAACCAACCACATAATATTCAAACAGATTCCCTCTCCATCTCTTTATTCTCTCGTTGCAGAAGATTTATGTGCAATGATATGATATCTCGATTTCGGATTTCAGAAACAGAACCAAAGGGGTATAAAAAAGCAGCACTTGGCCCTGCAATGCCACCTAAAAAGCAACGTTGATTAAGCAGTTCCCTATCCTCACTGTCTCTGTTACCTCCTTTTTCAGCACAAACACTGTTCCACTCTTTGTCTCTCTCTCAAGTCTTCACTGTTCCACCTCCACTTTGTCTTTTGACCAAACCCTTTATTGTTTCTTTCCACCTTCTTGGTCCCTGAGAATTTCTGTCACAATCTTCCTTCTGCTCATGCTTTGTCTCAACCATGTATTACCTTAGTAATGGTAAATCTCCCCCATTAATGTGAACTACTGTTAATTCAACATTAGCTCCATGTGTGCATGTCTCATGCACGTATATCAATTGACCTGAGCCTTAGGTAGAGACTTGATTGATCTTGGCTGATGTTGAGCTCTTTTTAAATATAATAATTCACCTCTTTACCTTTTATGTTACTCCAAACAATACATTTAAGTTTTGGACCTAACATACTATATTTAACACCTTTTATATTATCGAAAACTAAATTTTATCCTAGAACTTCACAAACTACTTTTTATTGAGTTTCTCTTTTCAATCATACTTTTTTTCTATCTAGAAAATTCGAATATGAAATTTTGTATGAAGAGACCGAACTTAGTTCCATTATGACTTTGATGGTTAATTTTAACCCTTAGGAATGAAATTTTCTCTTTCTGCTCTGTATTTTTGCTGTCACCCAATAAATTACTCAACTATGTTTCATTAGAGAAATTCTTAGGGAAACTGAATGTAATACAATTCTTATACCAGACGCGAACTATTTGATCTGATATTATTTAGTTTGACTATATATTTAATTTTTTAATACTGCTGATTGTTAGTGTATAAATAATGGAAAAGAGATTATATGACTGCTCTTATAACCAACGTGTCACACTAACATACTTAAGTTAACTAGGACATAGGATTTATTTTAATTCTAGACTTCTAGTATCTCTTCTTTTCACTTTTACTAGGTAACTTGTTTCCTTGAATAATTGATTGATCTATATATAGACCTATCAAATGTCCACTCTCACAAACATTCCCACTCTGCTTCTCCCCTTCTCTCTTTTGAATCCGTTTCTCTCCTTGCCCTAAACATACATAAAACATTTAACACAACAATCTTTTGTGCCCTCAAGAGTCTCCTATAGTTGTTAACATGTCAAGAAAGAGCAAAAGGGTGTGCCTTAGTCCTGATGTCAACGACAAACCAACCATCTTTCTAAAACACGGAGTTGGTGGTGGCAACGACAACGGTGGTAGAGTTTCAAGAAAGAGGGAGAGGATCATCAGAGCATGTTCTTTTAGATTGCCTAGAGACACAAACATGACTCCTGTGAGGTTGCTTCTGCGGCTAGGAGCAAAGGTGGCAAGTGCTATAAGAAATGTTTCTGTGAGAAGGAGATCCTCTAGGAAGGTTTCTTCATCCACTTTGGTCAGGTCACGTTCATTATCAGACCTCACTGATTCACATCGAGCTGAAACTGTAGAGGATTGCATTGAGTTCTTACATTCCTCTTCATCTAGGGAGAGACCAAGTTGAGTTTTTTCTCTGTGAGAATTTTCTTAGTTCTCTACGTCTACTACTTGCATGAGAATTACTCAGATGTGTTAAGTGCAAAAGGGTATGGTTCATAGTTTACTGATTTCAATTAACATGTTTCAAGTGTAAGGAAAGAGAGGTTGATGTTGATCCTTTGTGCGCTATGTTTGCTATGAGTAGTGTAGAGGTTCTGATGTTAAGGTTAGCAAGCTCAAATCATAGTTTGAACTGTTTATTGTAGCGTTCCATTCATAACAATACATTGTTGGCCTTCTGATTCGCCATATTTATTTCTTGGCCGTTAATTGATTAATCAGCTTTTGCTCTTGATGGAAAAAACGTAAAAAAAAAACAAATTCACACATTTCTTCATAATATCTTGAATGAGCTTCGGGATAGAACTTTTGTTTTTGAACCGCTAAACTTTTATCATAAACCTCGCAGATTATGGCATAATCAAATTCCTTTCTTAACAGTTAACAGTGTGGATCAAGGTAATTAGCTATGTAGTTTTTATTTGTCACTGATAAGAAAAGGGATAAATACACCCAAATTTTTTTTTTAAAAAAATGAATCAATTGCTTGTGATCTTATACCAAAAAATTGCCTATTATTACCTTTTCTAAAATGTTATGGAGCCACATGTACAAATCCAAATGCATCATGTGAAAAACACAATGTATGTGAATCTCCCCTGAATCTTAAGCTTCACTTTGCGTGTTTTCATATACATCCCGCTCCACCAAGAAGGTTAGACTTAAACATATGCAATTAATAGATAGTTGAATTTTTCTAAAGTACTCTAATTAAGGTATGATTTCTAGCGATATAAAAAGACTTTGTAAAGGGAAATCGCACCTACTTTGATAATCTCTCTACTTTAAAAGGCATTAATACTTAATGCGTGCCACAATTTTTTAGTGGGTTCAAAGAATATAACTAACCTAATGTAAAACAAGTAAGGTATAATTTGAAGTTGGTAGGCACAAGATACTTTCTAAACAGAATACACTCTTTGATAATGTTGAGTGAGTAATTACAATTAATTAGGCCACCGGATATTTCAATTGGTACAGAGCCTAAGATGAAGTTATTAGCCACTCAAGTTGCTGAGCATTGTTGTTATGACATGTACATGAGTGCCCCACATGGCTGACAGAGGAGCATTCTCGTGTAGCCATGCCTCTTCTATTCTGTCCAACATTTGAAAAGCCACTGTCAACCATATCCAGCAAATCAGCAAATATATCCCTATTGATATCAACTTTACAACAACCCTTTGACCAGAATATGAGAAATCCGACCCAAATTCTCTATTCCCCAAAAAGAATCCAACAACTATGCAATACAAGTCATACTCCTTAGTGCAGTTAGTTGCTAAATATGAACCATGATGTAATGTAATGTAATGCACGGCTTTTTGAACAAAGTAGGGCTGCATGGAAAGTTATTTACGTAAATGGGGCTGTTTAAAAATTATTTACGCCTTTAGGGCTGTTTACAACAGTGTCGCTATGGGCCATAGCGACACCACTGCCACGTGACATTTTTTAAACTCCAGAGAAGCCATGAGAGCCATATTGAGGAAGTTGGTCCAGCCTATAGCGACACCAGTAGCTACAATGAAGTCGCTGTAGCCCACAGCGACTCATATTCGAAATTTAAAAAAAACTAAAATCCAAAAAATATAATTTATTTAAAAAGAAAATTTATAAAATAGTTATTAAAATTTATATGATAATGTAAAAATAAAAAAATTACAAAAAAAATATACTACATAATTTAAAATATTAAAACGTAAAATACAGTTGGTGTCGCTATGGGCTATAGCGCCACT